TTAGCGGATAGGGAATGCAATAGCTTATTTGATTAGCGAATCGTATAAGCAGTTTGTAAAGAATTTTTAGGTAAATAGCGGATTGTATAGTTATTTTGAAAAATATATGTTGACATATTATTCTACGAATCATCTCTTATCAAAATGCTTCTATATTGAATTTTTTCAAAACTAGTGTTTTGGGATCAAAGAGCTAGTCAAATAAGTTCTGTACCAAAAAAGCTAATGAACGGAATTAAATTCAATTTCTAAATAAGATTTATTAATCCACCAATTTTACACCAATTCACTAACACCCTAACAAAACCAAAATCAGTTGATAAAATAAGGACATAATTGGCAAGTTATTTGAGGAAATTTGGAACCTCTAATTTTTAAATATACTTTTAGCAACCATAGGTTGTATTCACAATGAGATGATCTAGTGATTTAAGATCTAATGGTTGAAAAAATAAGGACATAATGCGCGTTTAACAATTAGAAAGTTTAAAAGTAGCATTTGTGTTTCAAGAAATTATAGATTTGAGAAAACAAGAGTTATCTTCACTAATTTAGGGAAAAATCTCAAAACTAGTCCACAGTTGGAGGGGGAAACATTTTTTGTTCCAACTGAATAGTGAAAATCAAAATAATGGCTTCAAAATTAATCAAAAGTACGACTTTTTCTTTTTCTTTTTTTTTTGCTGAATTTACGATTTCTTGCTTAGAAAGTTGCGTTGCATAGAGTTGGTGTTTGATTTATGACAGGCTGGCGACAGTCATCCGATGTGGCATTGTATACCTGCAAATAAAATGGAGAAAACTCATATTTTTTCCCCCAAAAACTAGATTATCAATTTCTAAACTTCAGAACCCTAATCCCCAAATTCGCCGTTAAATATGTTTAAGTCGAAAGCACAATGGAACATAAGGTTGAACGCAGATGAGATTTCTTTGTGAATAATTGCATTTGAAGTTCACTCCTCCTATATATAGTAAGTTCCCCTTTTGTCCCATTTCAGTTTTGTTTATTGCAATAAACCTAGAACTTTTTGGTTTTTTGGTGTCTGCGTTTTGACATTTTTTGTTCCTTTGTTTTCTATTCATGTGCCACTTCTTTAAAAAATATTCCTTCTTATTAGTTTGAAGTTTAAGAGGAAAGGTGTAATTGAGAGAAGTCCTGCCTAAAGGCTTCTTGTACAAAAGGACCTTGAATGCTTTCTCCGATTCTTTCTTTTTCTCTTAATTCTTTTCCGATCGAGATGTATAGATCCTGTTCATGGATTAACGCAAACGTACAAGAGCTTTATGGCCCCGCGGGGCATAGAGGGAAAGCTGGGGGAAAGACGAATCTGATGTAGAAGAGGAAATCAGAAAGATAGGAGTTGGAAAGTGGACTGGTTTTTCATAGTTTCTTTCTCTTTTGTTGTTTGCAGCTCAGTTGCATGTCAATTCTTTTTCCAGTAGATCTAGGGTCAGAAAATAAAGACTTGTTCCACTCCCTCGACTTCTAAGACCCAACGAACGAACGAAGCAAAGCGAAGTTCAGTCATAAAGGTCAATTACATCGTCGGGTTATTGTTTATTGACAAACTTTTTTGTTTTTACAAAAACTTAAAGATCCTTCGTGTTGTTCGTTATCATTGGTTGTGCATTGGGATGAAAAGTTTGCTCATGTCTCAGTACCAAAATATGAAGGACGTAAGTATTTTTTTTTTTTTATAGTTAATTATGTCACCCCACAAGAATTGATATTGTAAGTTCGGAAGATAGGCAATATATCGACGAACCTTCATCTGCTCTCAGGTTCAGACATCACAAAGATATTTAAGGGAAGTTTATTTTAAATTACTTGGATTAGTTTTTATTACTTCGTTTATTGGTTAATACTTATACATGTTCTATTATGGCAGGTCTAATGAAAGGGAATCGGGAACCACATTCCATCTATGATTACCTTCTATGCGCGCTCACTTACCATATGTGCGAGATCGGATCACGTGACCTGGACCTTCCAAAAGAAGACCTGACTTGACAACGAAGTTTGTTGAAAAATGTATCATATGGGGTTGAAGATAAAATGGCGACGATGATGAGCATTGTGATTGACTATTCATTATCCTTTAGTGAGATAATCTGAGATTGAGAATGTGTTCTGTATTTGAGTGATTAATTTATTTTATACTGAGAGAAGTAATCGAAAGTGAGAGGTGATTTGGTGTGAGAAAATACAGAGTGGACGGAAGTTCATTCTGTTTTAGTTTGAGGGATTCAAACAAGAAAAAAAAGAACACAAGGGATTTATGGTCGGATAAGTAATAGTGCAGATCATTGTTCAAGTAGAGTGTAGAGGGAGTCTATACTGTAAATCTTTGAAAAATGTTTGTGTTGTTTGCACTAATGAAAGATATCCGAAGGGAGAGTGGGACGCTCTCCTGAAGGTTCAAGTTTTGTTATACGGCTTCCGCAATCTATTTGAATCTACTTTAAATTCTGTTTAGTTTGATTGTGTGCAACTCTGTGTACTTGGGATACAAGTATCAAAATACAGATATTATTGACTATCATTTATTGGTGTCAAAATGAAGGGGTCACTGGGTATATGAGATTTCACATGTATGATGGAAGTGGGTTTATATTATTGTGCAGTGATAGGGACCTCAGTAAATTTCTGCATGATGTTGTTATAAATAGAGAGATGCATATATATATATATATATATATATATATATATATATATATATTGATGTCAAACCTTGTAATCTTTTGGATATTGTTGTTGACATTAATGAGTCCAGTTAGCCCAATGATCCAAATAGTCCATGTTTTCAACCCAGTCCTAAGCCTGCTTTTGCTTTTGTTCCAAATGATCCAAAGGAGAAAAAAATGGGCTCCATCTAGTTACAAATTAAAGAAGCCATAAGTAGTGTCTTAGGTAGGAAGAGGATGATTAAAGAATGAGAATAACTCTGATTCTAATGAACTAAATGATTCAAACATGAGACCTGGAGTTAGTCCCGATTTGTGAGAAGAAAATGTTGATAATAATATAGACATACATTGCAATGATTCAGATAATGGTGATGAGGATGATGATGTGGTTATTGATGGCCCTCAACTAGATGAGTCTAGGGTGTCTGATAAAGAGTGTGAGCCAATGACCCTGTTTTCAACGCTGCACTTATTTTCACTCTAACCTTTGAATTAGGCATGATTTTTGCTACTAAGGAAAAATTTAAGAAGGCAATTCAGTCTCACGCTATTAGCACAAAAAGAAACTTGAAGTTTACAAAGAATGAAAGTAGAAGAGTATATGTTGATGTAAGGTTAAGAGCTGCAAATGGAGAATCAATGCTCTTAAGAAAAAAGATGAACAAGCTTTCATAATTTCAACTTACTTTTCTGATCACACTTGTGGACCAGAGTTCAATGTGAAGAATTTAAAAAGTAAATGTCCTAGTGAAAAGTATCTAAAGAGTTTTGAGACTGATCCTAAGAGGAGTACAAAATGGTGGAAAAAAGAAGTAATTAAAAAACTTGGGTTTGATGTGTCCAGGTAACAAGCATACAAGACGAATAAAAAAGCTTTGCTAGTCATATAGGGTGATCCTTCTGTGCAATTCCATATGTTTTGGGACTATTCTAAAGAGTTGAGGAAGACCAATCTTGGAAGCACTGCCATTTTTTACACTACCTCTTCAAATGGTGAAACTAAGTTCAGTAAGTTCTACTGTTGTTTTCATGATTCAAAGAAAGGATTCAAATGGGTTGCAGGCCTATAATTGGTATAGATGGTTGTCACTTAAAAGGCCATAAGTTGGGTATCTTGCTAACTGCAGTGGGTGTTGACCCCAACAACAATTTATACCCTATAGTTTATGCTATTTTGAGTGGAGAAACAAGGGAGACTTAGTCATGGTTTCTAACCATACTTAAGTCAGACCTAGAGATTGAAGATGAAGAGAAAATGACCTTCATGAGTGACAAACAAAGGATTTTAATTCAAGCTTTTAAAGAGGTTTTTTCCAAACAGTCCTCATAGGTTCTGTGTTAGACACCTTCACTCAAACTTCAAGAATGCATGTTTCAGAGGCTTAAGTATTGAGTTAGCATTTTGAGGTGCTGCATAGGCCACTACAGTTGGGGAACTTAAGAGTAGGATGATGGATATAAAAAATCTGAGTGAAGAAACGTGGGCATGGTTTCGTGACAAAGAACCAAGTGAGTGGTCAAAATCACAGTTTTCAGATTTTACAAAATGTGATATGGTTCTTAACAATGACTATGAGTCCTTTAATTCAAATATCCTTGAGGTAGGAGACAAGCCCTTCATCACTATGTTGGAATGGATTAAAGAGCACTTGATACAAAGACTACATCAGAATAGGGACAGAGTAGCTGTAAAATGGCGTAGGAAACTGTGTCCTAAGATACAAAAGGTATTATAAAAACATTTAGCGAAGATCTTTGATTGTATTCCAATAAAGGTAGAAGATCACAATTATCAAATTTCATACTCTGGTGGAGAACAATACGTTGTGGCTCTTGAAAAGAAATCATGTAGCTGTAGGGCTTGGGAGTTGAGTGGTATACCTTGCTCACACGCTCGAAGAGTCATTGTCAACAAAAAAGAGACTCTGTTGACTTTGTGAGCTTGTTTTTACTCAGTACACATCTACAGAATAGCCTATGAATCTACAACCATAACAAGAGAAGGGACAGACTTACTATGTTCCTCCNTGGTAGGAAAAGAGGCAGACCCCCTTCTTTGAGAAAGAGAGAACCTAATGAACCAAAGAGAAAAAGAAGGAGGTCAGCTTGTCTATATAAACTTAAAAAGTAGAAAACAACTGTAAGGTGTATAAAAGCAATGAACCAGGTCACAATGCTCTCACATGCAAAAACCCATAGTCTAACATGAGGGATAAACTAAAGATTAAAATACATCTTTTATTACATTATTTTTAATACAAAAAATATGTATTTTAATTAACTGCTCATTCTAGCACCATCTTATACATATGTATATTGGCCAGGTTACCAAAAAAAACAAAGGTGGTGTAGAGAAATCAAGTGATGCAACACAAAAACATGAGAAAAATGCAAATGCCAAGATGTTACCACCGGCAGAAGAGGACTTGATGAAAAGTGTGATTTCATATGAGGATTTGATTGCAACAATTGAGAGCCGACTGACAGTAACTTATACCAATATGTGCAACCTCACAAACTAGGTACTTCTCCATTTGAGCAGTTGAAAATGTCCTGAAATCAGCCACCTCTGACTAACTCTCTCTAAACTAGGATCATTATCAGGGTAACCCGACCAATAAAAGGAGGATATATCAGACCACTCTTCAGTAGAATACCCACCAGCTCCAAGTCAATTGTGGTGGAGAGTGGGAAAAAAATTCTTGGACATATCTCAAAATAGCCAGACACAAGTGCAATTTAAGAAATGGAAAGAGAAAATGAAGTAGAAAATGGACATTTGCGTGTTAGGTTTTGTTTCTTATAAGTTTAGATTATGAAAGTAAGGATGCCTGTTTTGGATATATTTCGATTGTGAAATAATTAGATGCTTGTTTTGGATATGTTTTGGTTCGGCGTAGATGTTTTTCGGATATTAATTTTGTATAGAATTTGGTAATGGAATGCCTATGGAAGGGGGTGTTATCTATTGGAGTGACTATGTAATGAATTTGATTCTATATTGCATACTTTTTTCATTTTTTTTTTTTTTTTTTTTTCNATATTGTGTCCTTTATGTTAACAGATCATCCCTTGCATTCAAAATGTATTTGTGTTCTGGATATAAAATATTATGTTGACAACTTATATTTGAGCAACATAAATACATGAAGCATCTTATAATGTTTATGAAACAACTTCAACATGAAGTACAATGTCATAGGTACACAATTCTTACAAATAACATTCCATTTAAAACACAACATTCTCATACATACAATGTCATTGAACCATCTTAGAATGTCGAGGAAATAACCCATCCCACCATTCAAAATGAAAAATACAGAACACTTCATAAATTACTTAAGCATCTTCACTGAAGCAAAATACAATATACATCTTCACTCACACACCACTGAAGCATCTTCACCATCCTCATTCCATTTATGTTCTAATATTAGCATCTTTGAGATTGGACAGTAGGGTAAACACCAGTAAAAGAACCAAAATGAAAACCATCTTCTTCAATCTGTTATTCGACTCCACCAAATATCCATTTCTTTATTTCAACCTCTCAATCTCAATTTCACTCTCATTCATCATCCTCAAAAGGATAGGGATTATCATTTTAGACATACGACACATTGGAGGGTCGATCTAGTCAAAGAAATCACACGCTCTATATTGCATATTGAAAAAATTATGAATCAAGAAAAAAAAAAACCTTGAAATAAGAATTGGAAACTTCAGTAAAGAAGCAAGTCTATTTAACAACTTACATCGTAATTCAAGCAGGACTGAAATCGCCGCCTAGGGTCAGTGTCTTTCATGATGTTCGAATCACCGTCCTTCAACCACAATGGCATATCCCATTTTCCGTCACAAAAGACATGGAGATTAGGGTTATAAAAGTTAGAATTTGGGAATTTGTTAAATTGAGGGGAAAATCTCAATTTTTTCTGCTTTATTAGCATGTATATAGCGCCACGTTGGATGACTGTCGCCAGCCTGTCCAAAAGATAAAAAGCTGAAAATCATAAATCCCACAAGAAAAGTTCTACTTTTGATTCATTTTGAAATTTGTTCGATCTATTTTGTTTTTCACTATTCGATTGAGATAAAAAT